AGAAAAGTTTTCTCAATTCGATTCATTTTTGGTTTATCTTTTAACACGAACTGTTATCACTTTATTTTTAACATTTTAAACACAAACTGGTGAAATGAAAAACATTTAAACTTGTTTTTCCAAAGGCACATAGAATGATCTCTCGAGAATGGCTTCACGATAAGTTTGGTCTCATTCAATTTGCTTACTACTCCACCCATTTTTTTGAAATTTATGCAAACCTTTCGATTTCTTGATTTCAGTGGCGTTTTTGTTCTTAAAACCATAAACGAATTGGTATATTGATGCAGAAAGTTGAGTGTTTTCAACGATTTGGTCCCTGATCAATGCTACATGCATTTTTCTGATTTTGTCAAAAGCGCCCCGACAGATGCGATATTTCTTTTAATAGATAATTTCTGGCTTGAAATTTAGAAATACTAATAACATTCAAAAGCTGGATTAAATTTTAGTTCGGAGCCGTTCTGCTCGATTTGAACCAAGGTTTATTTTGGCCGGTTCTGGTGGGCGAAAAGGAAAATTGGATGTCTTTTCTTCAATTTGTTAATCTTTTTAGTATTTGGGATGTTGATTTTAGAATACAGGGGGTAATTTTAAAAGAAAAATACGAGAAAACAATTCTAGAAGCTAGCTTGGCACGGGCTTTCCAAGCAATATACTTGGCACTGGGATTTCGCTCAGGCTCAAGCTCACATTTTTTCAGCATCAGCACATTTCACGTTCTTTTTTCCTATTTTCGACGTCGCTATCTAAAAATGAATCTCAAAAAACACTCATCTCAAACAACTTTTCTTCACGATTCTTTTATCGAATCACTTATTGTGTTTTCTTCTTTTTGTTCAATTCTGTTCAATTTTTGTTTCTATAAATTGTGTTTTTCTTTCAGATCAATCCATCAAATCATTTCACAAGGATGACCGAAAAGGAAAATTTCATGGTTCGTTTTTTCTTCTGCCTTATCGTGCTTTAAAAACTTTTCAATCAAAAGAACTTATTGGTATATTGATGCAGAAAAAGCAAACAAACAAATTTGCACACTAAACGGTTTTGTCGCTTCAAAAAGATAAACCCTCAAACAAAATTTCAAAGATTTGTTATGTTTTAAACATAATTAATACTAAAAGCAACTATTATCTTTTTCAGGCTATCGGAATGGATAACGAAAACGAGTACGAAGAGTCGATGGTGGGGTTCCCATTCAGTTTCGACTAAATTCTGCTTTTTCTAATGTTATCCTTTCAGTTATTCAAATTTACATTTCAGGCACTAATCGGTCCTCCACCAGCATATCTAGACGCCAATTCAGATCCAAATTTTCCCGGGGTAAGCCCTAGCCAACAAGAGCCTGCCAACAATCCACCAAACCAATGACAATGGCAAAATGTGGTGCTTATCTGGTGATGAGAAAAACATTTTTTTGGTGATAATTGTTGAATTCCTTAAAGTACAGGCGGGAAATCCTAAAATAGAGAGACAAAGTTGGATCCAATTTTAGACGATTGCTTATTTCGTAACATTTTGATAAGGTTTTCAAATAGAAATTCAAGCAATAAAAGGAAGATCTGGCTCTTGCGTAGTTTCCGGGTATTTTGAACTGGTCGTCACACTTCGAAGGCCTATAACTTTACCCAGAGATAATATTTTTGTTAACTTTTTATTTTATTGTACAGAGGACATTTCAGACTTTCAAATGATGTCAAAGAAAGCTTGACTGGATTTTCCATTCTCATGCAAACAAGGCGACACGACACCCGAGCTGGATAGGCCCCATTTGCTCAGAGTTGGCTCTGATTTTCTTGGACTGGCTTATCCAATCAAGCTCTCTTTGGCATCATTTGAAAGCCTGAAATTTCCTCTGTACAATGAAATAAAAAGTTAACAAAAATATTATCTCTGGGTAAATTTATAGGCCTTCAAAGTGTGACGACCAGTTCAAAATACCCGAAAACTACGCAAGAGCCAAATTTTTAATTGAAGTACCTTTTAACACTGATCAATTCTTTCATATTTCAGTCTACTGTGATCACCGTTCAACCAAATTACATCATCAGTCAACCACTTGACATCAAGCCATGTTTACTTAGATGCCCAAATTGCCTCCAGGTAAGTCAATGGAAAAAGAAAATTTCATTTTTTGATTAGCACATCAAGTTTCAACGTTGTTTTTGGCTTTATTTTTGAACAATTGATAAAATCACTTCATTTTGAAAGGTAAAAGTAATCCTTTTTAAAAAATGAAGCTCTGAAATCACTTGTGACACGAGATATGTACAGAGTTTTCTGCTCTTTTTATTAGAGTGATTTATGGGGATTAAAAATAAACATGGCTTTTATATTTGCTTCAGGAAATAGGGAAATAACTCAACGTTTTCATTCAGATAACGACAACCGAAGTCACCTATTTTTCCAGATTCTTCGCTTGGCTCCTGTGCAAGGTTTTTTCGCTTTTGGGTTGGTTTTGATTTCAAAAAGTCACTAAAACAAACTGGCAACATTTTCATAAGCAATCAAAAAACAATCATTAGATGATTCAGTACATTTCTAACTCTAGTAAAAATTTCTTTTTAGATGCTGGCTCTGTTGCTGTATCCCATTCTGTTGTAAAGAATGTAAAGAGGTTGAACATCGTTGTCGAAATTGTAAACATCTTATTGGAACTTACAAAAGATTATAAAAAATTAAGCTGAAACTTTTCTTTTCAAGTTTATTTTGAAAGTTTTCCATTATAAAGTCTAACAAAAAATGGTTAAATAAAGAGTTAAAAAATTTCCCCAAATTTGAAAAGACTAAAAATCTATTCTTCAAATTTCTCAATTGTCTCATTCTTGATTATAAAATAAGTTAAAGGAAAAATGAAAAGATTCAGACAAAATAAAGAGCCCATAAAAGAAAATGAAGATAATCGAACTAGAAAAGTTCATGATTCGGCAGCTGAATATAAAAGCAGTTTTAGATTTCATTCATCACAAATTCAAAGCATTTTTGGTTATTTTTTTTGGAATTGGTTTCCTCTTTATTGAGGTTGTTTAGGCGCAAAAAGTGAATTGTGAGTTGGAGTTGAGTTGAACGCGTCAATTGAATTTCTTTGCCGACCCTAAAGACCGAAGTCCTTGGGATGTCCCAAAATTAATGGTCACCGGCAGTCCCCTGCGGGCGTTCCGAGGAACGACACCTTGGGATCCCACCTCTGACGGGAGAGAACCTCCCTTATGCCAAAGGTGAGCTGTTATCCGGTGAGGGATAACTGACATTCAGTTGGGGCCCTTTCTCCCCCTACCGGGCTTATAACTGACGAGACCTGCCGTCAGACTGACCGAATAGGGTGATGGGAGCCCGATTGCAGCCGAGACTCGCTCGCATTACCCAATGGCGCTTTGCCAGACCGCGCGCGATTACGCCCCCAGGAGGTGTCGAACAAAAAAGTTCTAAAATTCTTTTTCCCACTTTTTTATCATTTTCCATCTTTCTTTTGACTTTCTGGGGTGATTTTTAACGGCAAATTCGATGGAAAGCACTCCAAATTTCGATAGTCTTTGTTTCGCGGTGAATTGTGATCCTTTGAATCACTTTCCTGATAGATAAAAGAGTTTCAATTAGAAGTCCCTATAGTCTTAGAAGTCCCTTAGAAGCCTATATGGCAAAAAAAGCTCACCCATCATAAAGAACTTTTTTTGATTGTTCATATCGATAATTCCACCGTCGATTACCGGCAAATGCGTATCCAAAATTCACTAATTTCGACATGCTCTTCTTTTTCTGTATCTAACATTACCTTGACAAGTATCTAATGATCGAGATAGAGTCCTTGCAAATGTATGATCACCACAAAAATCTATTTATTTGAATCGTCTGCCCCCAGGCCGTCGAATCACTGCCACCTCTGCGTGTTCTAAATAACAAAAAAGGGTCACTTATACAAAAATTTTCATGAAAAGGAATGCTTTCATAAAACTTTTCAAAACCTGTATATTTCAGTTCCAGAAAAGGCAGTGCAGCTCGATTCTTTTCAGAATTTCTAGTGGCTCCTGGGATTGGTGTGGTGCCAAAGTGAATATCTTGGGCGGGTAAATTTTTGATATTTTCACTTTTTTCCGATTTCATGATCCTTTACATGAAATTTTTGAGTAAAAGCAAAAGTCAGTCTATCCCTCACCGGATAACAGCTCACCTTTGGCATAAGGGAGGTTCTCTCCCGTCAGAGGTGGGATCTCAAGGTCACCACCATGAGACTTTTGCCATAAAATTAAAACTTTGTACTATCATATTAGAGTTAATATATTTAGTTTATATAAAATCTTAGTTTCATTTTTAGCCAAACACTTTATTCATCTACATTTTGTGATAATCTCTCGTAAATCAGAGATTTTCAATTCGCCTTTTTTTTGAAGAAGTGTCCCATTTTTCCAAGGAAACGCTGATCATTTAAGTGTATGTTTAAAATTTGAATCGTAAACATGAACACTATCGTAATAGTGTTTATTATGCACCACAACAATTCCCAGGAGCCACTAGAAATTTTGAGAAAAATCTGAACTGACATAGGTATTCACAATTTTTGACAACGGCGGATAACTTTCAACAAATAGTTCATGTCAAATATTTGCTTGAAAGAAAAACAAATCGAGAAAAACGATTGTTTAGAATGTTGCTTGTACAAGGATGAGCAAAAACATTGCAGAGATCGAAGAAAATTTGTTGGAGACTTTTGGAGACGAATTGTAGTTGAATGAAAACTCTCGATGATGGTACTTGACTCCCAGTTGGTGGCTACCGGTCTGATTTTTAATAGATTCGATCAGCTTGTCCACGACTTCAAGCGCCGCTTTCAGTTTTTTGAGTTCACTAAAGCTGAGAAAACTTTGTCCATTTTTAAGATAAGGAAACAAAAAAAGAAATAGTTTATTTTGAAAACCCGATCCAAACATTCCTTTGCTCTAAATTCTCTTAAGAACCTTAAAAATTACTTTTCCTTTACTTTTCAATAGCTTCAAAACTTCTCAAACCCACATTTCTTCTCGTAGTGCAAGTTTTTCCTCTTGACACTCGGATAATCTAAAAGTTGAATATACCTAAGAAAATCAAATGCTTTAAAACCTTTGCTTCAAAACAACAGCTTCGACATGCAATCTATCGATTTCGTCTTTTCTTTGTACTTCTAGATTTCTGAAAGATTGAAATGATTGAGATTGAAAAATGTTAACTTTGTTCATAAGATTCTTGTGACTTTTTTTCTTACATTTTCTCGCGAAGCTTCTCCTGCAGATGGTCCCTAAAGAAATCTTCGCAATGATAAAGTCTTTTTGGCTTACTGACAATTGTTTTCGGCAAATTGTCAGCGTAGCGTTTTGATCGTTGCAAGTTTCCAAATTCCGTCTTGTTCTAGAACGGCTAAAAAATTGCCTTTTAAACATGGAATTTATTTTTTTCTTGGGTTTCGTTGTCTTTACATGATCGGTAATTAACACGTTGACGACATTGTCACCTGATGCTGTCTGACACATATTCGTTCGCCTGGGACATTGTCACCTGATGTCAGGTGACATTTTTTGTCGAAAAAAAACAACGTTGTCCCATGCGATTGTTTGTGCAAAAGCGCCATTGTCGTCAACGTGTTAAGACATTTTTGACTACATTTGAACAAATCGATTTATCGATGAAATATCTCAATGCTGAGAAATGACCCACGATTTGTCGAAGTCCCAATTGATCATGATGATTCCCAGCACTATGCCAACAAAAATAAGCATTGATGTGAAGATGAATAGAGGCTTCGAATGCCATTTTTCTTTTTTGATAGCGTCTCTAAGGTTGAACGTTATAAATGAATATTTCATTGATATACCTATTTATTGGTTTATTGGGTATCGATAGCAGAGACTTGTCAACCTGTTGAGAATTGAAGGGTTTCTTTGCCATTGACAAGAGTTTTCTAAATCTCTATGTAGAGGTAAAAAAGCAATAGTCAAACATAAACATAAATAAAAGAATGTAAGCAAAGGAAAGATTCGACTTTTATTATGTTAATTAGGAGTGAGTCAATTTAGTTGAAAACAGGCGATTTGGCGATTTTGTGGAAAATTTTTTTCAGCATGAGAAAAAGTTGTATGTCACAATGTATGTAAAATGTTAATAAATAACATAACATAAAAATATTCTTGCTATATGCTAATAAATAGCTATAAAAATATTCTTGCTGAAGAGAAATTACTTCTTTTCGATAAGAGATGGTTCTTTTCCCAAAAAAACGGTTGTTTTTGACTAAAGACTTTACGTTAGCTGCAAAGATAAGCAGCGGTCTCGTGCTTCAGGGAATTCAATCTTTCATATCTCAGATTAAACCCAAAATAAAAAGCAATACGATGCAAGAAGTAAATCTGTTTACTTCAAAATGTTTTTTTCTTTCACTCTCAGCTTTGGACAGCTAAAAAAAGCTTGAATTCTATTTTTAAATACAAAATTAAGCATAAATACTGTTTACGATGTTATTGCATGAAAAACAACAAAATTTTAACCATTTCTTTATAGAGCATCTGTTACAAAATACTTTTCCAAGAAGTAATTCAGTGAGGATAACAATGTTTTATAGCAAATTAAACATGCTGATTTCAAAAGTGAAAACCGTTTTTCTCTAGCTATTCTCGTTCCCAAGATCTGAAAATCTGAAAAGATCTGAAAGCTATTTTAAACTTAAAAATAGTTTTTATTATAAAAATTTTTTCAAATCAAGTTGTTTTTAAAAACCAATTGAATAATCAGAAACTACATAAAATTTACTACAAAATTGTGTTCGAGAGTTTTTGGATTAGGTCGCTTTCCTGATCGGAAATCGATCCTGAAAATCGAGGCTCTAATTTTGGCATGTTTTCAACGTGAAATGGCTTGATTTCAACTGTTCTTTCAACTGTCAACTCAACCGTTCACAAGTTCCAAACCCGTTCCTGACATGGATATGATCTGTATATGGAATATGGTTATTTGAACGATTTACTTCCATTTCTAGACAAGTCAAAATTTCTGAAACGTGAAAAAACTTGGAATTCCCTAGTAAATGAGTCGACTAAGAGATCGAAAGTGAATTGAATGGGAAAACGAAGGCATCATTCAATATTCAATGGTTTGCTATAATTTCAAGGAAATTTCATTTTATCATCTAGAAATCTTTTTTACACTTTGTAGATGGTTGAGAGAGTTTTTAATCAAAGTTTTATCGTGCAAATTTATAAATTTCGAACATTCACAACTCCAACAATTAAACAATCAACTCAATGACTAAAAGGTGTATTGGGTTGGGGAGAATGAAATGGCGTCGAAAATCAAAGAAATGTCTAAAACTTCTAGCAGATTTCGTTAAATGATACGCGTTTGATATCAGTAGAAAGATTAACTAATTCTCTACAAAATGACATTTAAAAGAGAACTCAAACAGCGCCTCAGCTCAACGAAAGGCCATTTTTACACAAAACCTATAAAATGTCATTTAGAGAAAACGGTTGAAGAGGTACTCTTGAAAATTTGGGAACCGATGTAATTGGTTGTGCTCTATCTTTTTTATGTAAACACTAAAGGAAGTTTATTTGGAAGAAACTGTTCAAACGATGAGTCGGACTCTATGCCATTTTGATTAACTGTGGTTGGGAGTCCATAAACTTCACGAAAGAAAAGCTTTGTGGAATCTCTCAGAAGTCATTTTTTAGAGAAATAGTGGACCCTTTTGATAAAACAAAACTTATATTTAAAGAAGGCTTTATGCGTGCAAAAAGTGTCTTTAAAGTTCGGTGCCATTTCATTCTTCCCAACCCAACATTAAAGCTTTTGTACATAGAGCTGTAGAACGGCGTGCGGGTAAGGAAAGAAAACAAAGAAGATTTTTCGAATTCTTTTACCCTTGAAGCTATTTTAAGGAGAATGAAAGGAATAAAGGAATATAGGAATATTCGGAAACAAATGAATCTTTTCAAAGTTTCAAAAAAACAAGAAGAAGAAGGCATGAAGAGATAATCGAAAACTTGTTGACAGCTTTTGTGTAACGGAGGAAAAATTCCCCTTCCTGGAGTTTCCCATCGAACTCCAGACGGTACTCATCGCTCTGATTTCTCTGAATTTCTATCAGCCTCTCCACGAGTTGGATGCCCTCTTGCAACTCTTTGAGTTTTCTAAATAAATTTTATTTATTGCAAAATGCAAGATTTTTCAGAGCTTCTGAGTAAAACTGATCTTTGAAATGAAATGAGTTTCAGTCAGCAAAAAATATGTTAAGCTAGTAAAAGTCAAAAGATTTTATGGAAAATGCAAACCAACCGAGATTCGGGTAGTTTTTGCTCATCTCGTTGACAATCGGACAACCTGGAAATGAAAGAAAAAGTTCATTGCCGTTTTGCAATGAAATAATGCAATGCAAAAACGTTTTGCAACGTTTTTTTTGCCAACTTGCACACCTTTGTTTCAAAACAATGGCTTCGGACTGCAATCTATCGATATCGTTTTTTCTCATAAATTCTTGTAGCTCAAGCAGTGAACTAAAATGATTGGAATTAGAAATAAAAACTTTGTTCTCAAAGCTCTGAATCAATTTTCTCACGTTTTCTCGCGCAGCTCTTCTTGCAGATGATCACTGAAAACCTCTTTTATGTAATTCAAAGTTTTTATTAGAATGACCAACACTTCTATTCGCCAAGCCTTCAACATATCATTCTGATCACATGTTTTCGAATCACTTCTTTTAGGATGACTAAAATATTTTGATTTTTTCATCAACTTTTTCAAAACACGATAGAAATTCGAATCCTAATTTGATTTGAAAAAAATTTTGTAGCCTAACTTTATGTTCATGATCAACTTCTACGCAAGTTGTGGTAGAGATTGAGTAAAAATGAATCACAAAGAAAAAAAAAACTAGTGATCATGTGAATCAGCTTATTCAAAAGTGACTTTCTTTTTCTTGTTTTAGCCAGAGAAGAAGAAGAAAGGGAAGAAGTGAACTCGCCCACGACCCACTTCTCGATACTACCACAGCTCCTCAGGGATAAGGATTGGAAACAATCGGGAGACCACAACGAGGACTACGACACCCTGGTCAAGAACCTCAAGGGATGCGAGAAGAAGTGCAATGTGTCACAGACCAAAGATCAGAGGATCTCAGACGCGACCAAGGAGCTGCTCAAGATGAGGATCCACATCAAGAACACCACCAACTCCAAAGAACTGGAACGAAGAACAGCTGACAAAGCATGCCGCAACCACCTCAAGATGGACCTCAGCAACCACCGCAAGCGAAAGCTCCTGGAAGCAGCCGAAGCAAGATAAAGCATCAAGAGGTGCAGACGAGGACTCATCCAAAAGAGACAAGTCTTCACAGCCCTCAAGGACAACAACGGCACAAGAACCAACTCAAGAGCGGCGATGGGGAAGATTGTTCAAGACTTCTACACCGACCTCTACTCGTCGACAGTCACCCACCCACCACCGCCAGTGTCAGCTGCCACAGAAGAAATATCGACAGTCCTCCCAGCCGAAATCAGAGCAGCCATCGCCACCACCAAGACTGGAGCAGCCCCAGGGCCAGACAACTACTCAAGACAAGATAGAGCTACTCAAGGTTGGAGGGAGAAGACATACACAAGCTGCTGGTCGAACGCTTCACCACCTACCTCCACAACCAGAGGATGCTTGACCACTGGCGAGAAGCAAGGACAGCCCTGCTCTACAAGAAAGGAGGCAAAGAAGACATCGGAAACTACAGGCCAATATCTCTGCTATCGGTCCTGTACAAGCTCTACAGGAAGATTCTCCAACAGCGAATAGAGCGGCAATTCGACGACTAACAGCCAGTGGGGCAGGCCGGCATTCGATTCAGTGGAACACGGTGGAGTGACACAAGCCCTCCCTCGACGCAGGAATTGACCTCGGATATACCCACGCCATACAAGACTGCTACACGGAGGCTACCACCACCATCAAGATGTTCGAGAGGGAAGTCCACATCCCGATCAAGCGCGGGGTCCGCCAAGGAGACACCATCTCGCCCAAGCTGGACAGCACTAGGAAGCATCAAAGAAGTCACAAAGATTCTCAAGAATCGCCAGAGGACTCGGGCACACCTCTTCGACAGCACCGTCCTCCCGGCACTCTGCTACGGGACAGAGACCTGGGCCACGACACAGACCACTGAACGAGCCCTGAGAACGACGCATCAAGCCCTTGAAAGGAACCTCCTCGGACACAATAGGAAGACGCAGCTCGACCAAGACCTAAGAAGTACGGATATGCGCCCGCTCTCGGGACTCAGAGATCCAGTGGAAGTGATCGAGAGAAAAAGACTCAGATGGGTCGGCCACGTAGCCAGAAGAACAGACGACAGATGGACGATATGGATCACAGAGTGGCTACCACGAGACCAGAAGAGGCCCATCGGAAGACCAGCAACGAGGTGGAGCACAAGAGTGGCAGAGACGATCAGAGAAAGGATGGCTAGAGTGCAACCACCACCAGCACAAGCAAGTCGAAGACTTCGAACCAGGAACAACCAAGATAGGAAAGGCTGGATGACAATAGCAAGGGATAGAGAAATGTAGAAGCAGGTTGTGATCTGCGCAAATAGGAACACTGAAGTGCGAAGACAGATCAAAAAAAAATTATGAAAGAGATCTATTTATCAATTCTACGAAGTAAGTTTTAAATCAATTCAAATTTTAAATTTCAGTTTTTTAGAAGCCTCACTAGTTATTCAAGTCCCATCTGAGGAAAATGATCACCATTACGATGGCACTGAAAATCACCAGAATTACAATGGAGAGAAGAGGCGTAGAGCACTTCTTTTCTTTTTCGTTGATGAACCTAAAATCGAATATTGTGCTATTTTTAACAGATAGACGCACTCGTGTCGCTCATGTGGACTCTTCGCTAACAGTGAAATGTTG